CTATATAACATTTACTATCTTTAGCTTACTAGCAAATCTTGTTATGTTTTCTGTGTACCTTATATATATTCTATAAAGTATGATATATTGTTAAAGAGAAAGTATTTGTTGGATCTAAGGGATATAGATATTAGTATTTGAACAAATATTAATAATAAATTAATCAAAAAATGAGTGATTTAATATAATTTACTATCTTTTTTGATTTGTGAAATGGCTTTGGCTTACTAATAGAAGGGGATCGACTATTAATGGGTATTTAGTTACAATGATGGGTTAATAGGTATCAAATAGGCTCTAAATAGTACAAATATATCAAGAATTTAGATATTAAGTAAAGTTGAATCCTCTTTTTTAGATTTATTAATTACCTTCTGTTTTATCACCGTTTTTCTATCTTATTATTAAGATAATTTTTAATTAATTTTATTATTTTAGAATTAAATCTCTATTAACTCTTTATATTATGTCTAAAGTTGTGAAAAGACATGTGTGTTTAGGAAGTTAATAAATTATAGAGGTTTATTAGAAAGTGGTGGTACTTATATATAAACCTTATATATATATTTAAAATCAAAATATAAATATCAATATTTTTCGTGATATCTTGACTTCTATTAGTCAGATCTAATTTAAAATTGAAGTATATAATAATATTACTACTATAAATCTATTTTTTAAATTTAAACTTTGTACGACTAATTAAAGTTTGTATTACAGCGATTATATATATCGATTTATTAGTATTGAAATAGGTTTTAATGGGGTGTATAGCCTCCACTAATAGGTTGTAGGCTTAAAGTTTAGGCTCAACTGGCCTATTGCGAGAGTCTAGATTTACAATAGAGGGTGGTAGAGATGATATGATTCTCGACGATAAGGAATTAAAATAAAGAATATATTTACTATGGGTATTGGCAAAACTGGTTGTTCAGCCTACTATATCTTCTATATCCTTAGTTTGGCGGCAGGTAATATTATCTAGCTGTGAAATAAAAGGTTATATATGTTCTAAATACCCTATATGTGTTTAATAGCTAAATATATGTTCTTATTATACTTTTGATAATAGACAAAATCAAATGGTTTTCATTAATTTAAAGGGGAAGATCGCTTATACGACTGTAGATCACATTATATAGGTAGCCTAGTGACTAATAAGCTAGTAGAATAATCTTATCCTATATCTGTCTCCAACGCTATCTACTAGTAATATGCCTTCAGTAATATCGATAGAGTCGACTATGTTGTATGCTTGAATCAAGAATAACTGGAATATAATATAAGTAGATAAATTGTTTTTAAAAAGATTAAAATATTTATTAATAAGGTTACTAGATAGATTGTTGTTTCGTTTTATACTATAAGTATATAATAGGATAAGTATCTATATTATAAAAGAATTATTAGCGCAAGTCCTCGCGATAATATATTATATAAATAGTATCTCTTACTTCTAGCTTTGATATGAATATAATTGTTTTTAAAGGCCTGGAAGTCTAGTAAAGTTTTAATATATCTTAAACTCGGACGAAATAAAGGCCATATTATTAGAATCGTAACTAGTAGGACGCTCAGGATAAAGATCCCTAGCACAATTATCTTGTTTATATAAAAAAGTTAAAAGCATTATAAAATAAAGAAGAGAAAAATCTATTGTTATATATCTAGTCTCTTCTTAGTAATCTAAAGAAATAAATAAAATGGTATTATTAGTATAAGAGAGCTATCGATTGTTGTGAAGTTATAATTTAAATTAATAAGCTTACAATAATATGATACTATTATTAAAAATATGAGGATATGTGATCTACTAATACAGTCACCTCAATTTTATAACTAGCTTATTTAATAAATTCCTTATATATATATAACGGTGTATATATAAGAAATCTTATTAGCTTGCTAGCTTAATATCGTTTTACTGATTTCCAACTTTATTTGATAATATTAAAGAGCTAAAATTCATAGCTCTAATCATCTCTATAGCCCAGAATAATTTACTAAATAAGGGTATATCGGATATCTAGGTATTAATAATTATAGTGGATATATATTAGCTAACTATATTAGATAGGAGTAATAGAAATTATAAGCTCATCGCCTAGATTTTTAGTTGACTACTTTTCGTTTCGCGCTTAACATTATATCCTGTAGATTATATAACATCAACTTGAAAATCATATCTTCTATTTCCTTCAGTAATAGCTTTTATTAGACTCTCTTACGGTCAGATAGACATATCTAGAAGCTTTAGAGTTATATAAGTTCTTTTAATTCTTAAAAGCTTATTAAAATAAAGTTAAGGATAAATATTTTTAGTTAACTCTAACTATGTTGATAGGATGGTATTGTATAATTATTAACATTCGCCATATAACTATATACCGTATTTCACACGATTAGAAAAATCTTCTTAAGATACTTTACAAGGCTATTGAATTTTCGAAATACATTACTGGCTTTAAAGAGATTAAAAGTCTTTATTATATTCAAGAGTTCGTGAAGATAGCGTTATTAGAATTTGACTAACTAATAGCCTAGCTAAAGTAAAAAGCTCTTTTAAAGATTCCTTAATATAAATACCACCCCTAGCATCTAGATCGACAGATTATCTTACTTCTAGAAATAATTAAAAGAGTGCTTTAGAGTATTGAAAACAATTTTATCTCTAAAATGAAATAGTTCTTATATACAGAGTTTAAAAGCTCTTAAAACTCGTTGGTTTATCCCTATAATGTAAAGTATATGATAAAATACATGGCCTCTCTACTATGGCTAATATAAAAAATACATATCACGGATTCTAATATACTATTTAATTATTGCGAAAAAACCTTAAGTTATAAATTAAACCTTATCTAATATTCAAGTCACCCCACAGCCTTTATTTTAAATCTAGCTCAACCAATTATCCTAAATGGTCTTAATAGGTTAAAGATATAAAGCTCCTAAAGTGTTAAAGTTATCAAAGTAAAGACTGCTAAATAAAAGACTGCCAAATAGAAGAGATCCTCCACTACTACTTCTACTCCTACTCTGTACTGGTTTCCTTAACTTAGGATTTATCAAAAGCCACTTTTAATAAAACAATAGCTTGAATCAGGCGTAGGTCACTAGAAGAGCTTTTTATGGGGTTGAAATGATACTATAAAGCAAGATTTTAGATTGCGTCTATTATAGCGCTGACGAGTTAGTGGAAGCTCTCAAAACACTTGGAATAAAAATTTTTCTTAAGCTTCTACTGACTATATTATTACATTCGTTTGGCCTTTAACTCTACAATCGATATTTAGGGTTGTGTCTTAGATTTTCTTATTCGCGGCTATGTGGTTTCTAAGGCCATAGTAGACCCACGAGCTATAGAGATTTAGTGGTCTAGTAGATTTATCTTAGGAAGAGATGGCTTGATTTGTAGGGTAGTTGGTATGGTAGTTATAGGGATAGTATCTCTGGCCGTGTCGGTGGATCGACTGTAGATGCTTGAGGTGTTATTGTCAGAGCGACCACGAACTTGATTTTGAAAAGGGTTCATAGGATATCGATCACAGACTGACGTCTCAGCTCACAGAAACCGAGGTTGGGCTCGAGGTCCGCAGGCCTTTTAAGAACGAAAGATCTGTTTTATGGGCGAACGCAGTCGATTGGTGCTCTTGGATATTTTCTCAACGGCTTTCCTCATATTCTCACCATCGTTGGTGGACCTCGAACTCTTAGTCGTAGACCAGCACGGCTAGGATTCGCTACGATTCGTCCACAGCGCGGCGGTAAGTTTTCGGTACGAAGAGTCCTTGCCCAGCCCTCTCAGACAGACACGTCTGCTCCATACGGAGTACCTAGGTAGTGCTCTGTAGCCACCGTTGGAATCTCGTTTGGAGTGTTTCGAGTCGACAAATACTATTAGTACTTTGTGCTCGTCCGAAACATCTTCCTTTCGCAAAAAAAAGGGGCTGGGTTCAAAGTCTTCAAGAATGGAATGGTTCGGAGTTTGGGATGACGAAACTGGCTATTCCGCAAATAGATGGCGACGAGAGTACGGAGTACAAGGAGTGTACAGAGTAGACTCGGGGTTGGAAAGAGGCTTGACCCTGCTGCCGAGAGAAGGCCCCGGGGGGCAGCGGGGGAACAAGGTCACCTGACCGCGTTGTCCCAACCTTGGAACATCCGTGGATTTTGTCTCGAGGCGAGGTGCTTCCATTCTTTTCGTACTGCACCTCGGGGTCCTCAATCTCGAATCTGAAATATGTCTCTCATCTCAATTACACAGGCAGTTGGGACAGGTGTGCCAAGCGCTGTGCATACATGCCCCAAAGATCCATGAGAATGATTGGACAGTCAGTTCTGGGTGGGGCTGCGATCGATCTGAAGGAGAAACCAAGAGCAACCCTTCAAAGACTCTGAGTTGTGTGAAGAGGAAGCGGAAACAAGTGAGCCTTGGAAGACGAGGTGAATGACTGTCCCGTGGGCTCTTCTTCCTGAGCAGTCAGTGCTGTAGTCTACAAGACCTGCCGCACATAGGTTTCTAGGCAAACACCTGCCAACGCACGTCATGTCTCAGCCGCAGTCCCCAATGCGGTGTGAGCCCAAATCGCCCCCTCCTGATGATGAGACCTTTGCTCCGTAGAGAGACGGACTTGCGTTTCTTATTCTACGAAGGATGCCCGGTGAAACCTCGACCTGACCATGTCGTCAATAAAGATTCCATCGAGTATCGAGAACAGATTTGGCGAAACCCATGCCAGTGGTGATGGCGTTTCATTGCAGGCGGGTGTCAACACGGGCACAATTAACATCAACCGTGAGTTCCACAAAACACAAATCAGTACAGCCGTTGATCACCGAGTATCACAGAAAGAGCCCCAGAATTGTCCTTCCCGAAAGCGATTTATAACGCAACCTTTGATGCTGCAAACAAAGAACATCTGCCAAGTTGTCTTCGAGGCACACGTGTCGAGGTGTTAGAAAAAATACGGCAATGGATTGATGGCGACAATCCCAAGATGATCTATTGGGTCAGCGGCATGGCTGGGACAGGAAAATCCACCATCGCCCTCACACTCGCCCGAGCATACAAACGCGCATTTGGAATGGCAGATGGTAGCCAGGCTAACATTACCCTGGCTGCGACCTTCTTTTTCTCGAGGGGTGGGGGTGACCTTTCATCCGCGAGCAGATTTCCCGCAACAATCGCTATCCAGCTCGCTGAGGTTTCGGGACAACTTCGAAAGGTCATTGCGAGGGCGATTGAAGACAATCCTCGCCTTGAAAGCTTGGGTATACAAGATCAGTGGGAAAGACTCATCATTGAGCCTCTTTCACTCCTTTTCCAACCCACTGCCACAAGCCCATCGACCCTTCTACTGATTATCGATGCTTTGGATGAATGTGATAGCGCCCAGGACATTCAGGTCATCATGCGGTGCCTTGAACGAGTTACGCATGCGACAGGCGTGAGATGCCGTGTATTTCTCACTAGCAGGCCAGACTTGACAATTGGGCTTGGGTTCGATGACAGCGCATCGCTCTCTAGGGAAAATTTTGTCTTGCATGACATTGAACGATCGATCGTCGATCAAGACCTGAAAATATATTACAGAGACCAGCTCTCCCGCCTGAAGGCGCCAATACCTCTTGAGGAGAGTACTGTCTCCGAGATAACAATACAGAAGCTGGTTGAGCGATCAAATGGGCTGTTCATCCACGCAGCAACCGTGTGCAGATTTGTGCGGGACGGAGGATGGCTCGCAGTCGAACGACTGACTCGCTTAGTGGAAACACAGAAATCCGACAGCGCAGAGCTTGAGCTCGACCGAATGTACAAGACGGTCCTTGAATATTCTTTCGCTTCTGTCACGGATGGTCTCAACCAGGAAGAGGTGGAAAAGGTCCATCAACTTTTCCAACGCATCGTTGGCGCAATAATGGTCTCGTTCGATGCGATGAGCACCGAGAGTCTGGCAATGCTTCTTGGAGTAAAATGGGAGAGTATATTCACAACGTTGAGTGCATTTCACTCGGTCATAGATGTTCCGAAGTGCCAACATGACCCGATCCGAATTCTCCACCCGACATTCCGCGAATTTCTGCTTGATCCCAGCCGCCGTGGTGATAAGTTTCAGTTCATCCTGGCCAAAGATGCGCACGGATATCTCCTTACTGGATGTTTTGCCTGTCTGATGTCCCAGCTCAGACGGAACATCCTCGACATCTCAAAACCCGGAGCCAAAGCACAGAAAGTATCAGCGGGCAAAATCAACGCGTGCATTTCAAGAGAACTTCAATACTCCTCAAGATACTGGTGGGATCACTTTCAAAATAGCGACAACCACTCGCGAACAGATTCAAGCATGCATAGAACCCGAATGCGCCCTGGGGAGTGAATGCGCGCAGCATGTATGGGAATGTCAGCGAGAGAACCGAGGCCCAGAAGTTGTTTGTCGCAACGGCCCACGCCATTCCCACTTCTCGGTGGGACAGAGGGAATACTTCTGCTGAATAGGTGAACGGAACAGGGCCTTCTCCGGGTGAATAAAACGCGTCGAAAAGATACACGAAGAATGCAATCATTCCGATGTGCGCGTTGCTGCTGGAGGGGATCCAGAAGCAGAACCCAGCTGCCAGGAGTGTCCAGCACATCTTGGGGAATGTGAAAAGCAACAGGCCTCGTCTTCCGAATGTATCGATTGTCCATACAGCAGGCCAGGCGAAGACAAAGTTGATAAGTCCAAATCCAAAGGAGGCAAGGAGCGCCTCGATGTTGGAAGCACCAGCCAGTTGAAAAATCGTCGAAGAGTAAAACGAGATGATGTTGACTGAGACCATTGTTAGCTCTGCTCAAATCCGCTAGCCTTGCCAGATAACTCACTTCCACACATCTGCTGTGCGATCATCACAATCCCAGAGGCCTGCACCGCGCGTCGCAGACGAGGCACCGTGAAGAGCTCCACAAAGCGAACGAACATGTTTATGTTATCGCTCCTGGAGAATCCAGAGTCTTGAAGCAACTGCTTTTCCATTTCCAATTGCGCATGGATGTAATACAGGTCTCTGGCAGCCTGCAAAGGACTACTGTTTCGCAATCTGAGCAGAGAAGCGTATGCCTTCTTGTGGTTACGGTTGGTCATCAGCCAACGAGGAGACTCGGGGCAAAACCAAATTCCAAGAATCAAAGGCACTGCTGGGATGAAGGCAGATCCTAACTGCAACCGCCAGGAGATCGCACCGGTGTTGGCCACGATCAGGTTGGCGCATGTTCCGAGGAAGATTCCGAAGGCTGTCCAGAGTTGCCAGGACATGACCAGGCCTCCTCGAATGTTGGTGGGTGCATTTTCTGCCATGATTAGCTTCGATCTTGTGCCATAGAACGACGTGCGGTCCCCGGGACTGGCTCCCATTCACATACCAGCAGAGTAAACAGGAACTGTCACTTCTTTAAGACCCATACCGATTCCAAGCAGCACACGACAAGCAACCAGCTGCCCCCAATGTTGCGTGAATCCGGAACCGAGAGGTGCGACAAGACTGAAGATTGCAGCCAGGAAGATCGTGCCCCGGCGGCCGAGGATATGGTTCAAGGGGTCCGAAAGCCAAGCAACGCTATCAATCAGTGTCAGCAGTGAAATTTCCAAACATGCAGTTGGCACACACAAGATACAGATGGTGATGTATGGAGTCGCATTGATAAATCCGACAATCCACTGGTTACGCTTGCACACAGATGCGTCCAAGCAGCCGCTGTTGGGAATGCCGAATTGAACATCGAAGGTCAGGTTGGCGCCGTTGGAACCTAGGAACCCTATCAGCTGCGTGGAACCACAAGCTAACATAGAAATACTAACCGGTCTGGTCCCAGCCTTGAATGGCTGCCGCGATAGAGTTCAAGATGATGGTGTAGTACAGTGCAAAGGGGTGCTTCCAGCGGTGAGTACGCTCCTCGGTCATGATGCGGCGGTCGTTATCATCGAGTTCAGCGAGTCCTTCAATACTAGAAGGCGACTGAGCAACCAGGGCGCCTTTCTTGAGAAGAGGCAGGATATTCTCTAGGTCATATTCGGTAGCATAGGTGGCCACGTCGGCCATGAGCTGGTCGTGGGGGATGCCGGCGAGAGGGTTTTGGATTCTGTCATGTCAGTGATTGGATGCCAGCGGAGTGAGATGGGGGGTTGAGGCTATCTGGTGCTTCCTGTGCGAACTCCCAACGCAAAACTTACTCCCCGGTCGTATTCTCGGTCATTCTATTTTGTAAGTTAGCACTGATGGGTTGAACTGACAGGTGATTTCCATGTATTCACATACCCGCCAGCCGTGTCACTTCTGGCTGGGTGAGACATCTTGATAGGGTATCTGGCACAATCAAGATGTTTTAGATGATGTTGTGTAAATGTCTAGAGACAGCTGAGGTACCAAGGTGATACGGTGTTGATGAAACACAATCAGAGAAAGCAGCTTGGAGTAGGCTGATGACCGTTGATGAAGGTGACTGGAAAGGTGAGAGAAGCGGGAAAGGAGAAGAGCGAAAGAAAGAAAGAGAAGTAAAACACTCAAGTAACGAGGGAGAGTGTTGTCACCACTACGACTTCGGACGTCTTTTCTTCCTGCACAGCTACTTGTAAAATCTCACAGCAAATAAAACCCCGTCAGCAACCGGGTATTAGACCTTCAAAAGCATCCCTCGAGGTCATCTAGTGCCACCCAGATCTATGCTTACAGGGCAGATTTAATCACTGGTGCCCCTTGAGACTGAACAGCAGCTCAATCTATATCTCGTCCTCGGTCTATAGTCAACCCCATGAGGATGGGTCATACGAGACACAAGCAAGGTGTACATAGCCTTGGAGATAAATCAACAGAGCCTCGAAAACGGTCTGGAAACACAAGTCGCCGTGCTTCCAAGGTTGAGTCGAGGGGTTTCAGCTCCTGCAGTCATGGGAACACAAAATCCCGACGCGTCAGGACTCGGTTGCACTACCTCAGAAAGCGGGAAACAAATCAAGCTCACTCCATATCCCCGCAGAATATCATATGACCCGAGTCTGTGGCGCAATTCTAAGCTCAAACGGTCTACTGTTGCTTAGTCTGTTTAAGCCGGGCCAAGTGACTTGGCACCCTGTTCCTGTCAGACTTGGTTCAAAGGCATGCAATCAGCCCTTGGCTACCATGGTAGTTATATGTTTGCAGCAATACCTCGTCTCAGCAACAGTACTCCAGTCTGGGAGTGGTAGATCAGCTGCAGGTTTCAACCTTGGAAAGGTTGATCAAGAGCCTTGGTCCCTATAAACAATCCAATTTCCCCGCAAACCCTAACAGAATCAATAATTCATCGTTTTAACACCCTCATCAAGTCTCAGAAACAACGGCCCATCGACAGGGTCACGAAATGTAATGGTATGGCCATTGATACCTGCCACTGAGTTTCTGTAGGCAGGTGGAATTGCCAAAATATCCTCGTCGTTTTCTTGAATCCAGGATCGCGTGGCAAACAGCAGTGGAAATGGTGGTGACCTACCAGGCAGTAAGTCATTACCTCGGTCCGTGATCAGGTGTGTTCTAGATGGAGCGAATTGAATAACTTCTGTCTGAAAGTCAAGCTGGATCCTGAACCAGAGTTTCAACGCCGTTGTCTTGTACACATCAATTTCAGGGCCCGCTGCGTGGGACTTGCGACATGTGAGGGCCAAAAGCTTACCATCCGGTGAGAGGGATGCTTCTGTGTAATGCGGTCCATACAGATCCGGCGGTACGTCTTGAAAATAGCCGTCATCTTCGTCGGATACCTCACGCTCATAGTATTTGGGGAGGTGAATATAAGATTCTCTGAGGCCTCCATGCCCGATGTTCCAAATGTGAATTATTTGTCTTTTTCGTCCATCCACCTCGCTCAAAATCCAGACATTTTTACCATCGGGCATGAATCCCGTCAGTTTGGGACATCCTCGAAGGGTTCTGTGTCGGAGAATGTTGTTTGGAAAGCTTCCAACTTCAACCCATTCTGAACCTTGGCCCCATAAGCAATAGAGCTCCTCGTTTGTGGAGAACGCAATCCGTAGCTTCTTGTGGTAGCGGACCGGTATTTCAAAATCGCAGATTTTGCGCAGGCCATCAAGTTCCCAGCCATAACATTTAGAACGGAAACGGAAATGTGGCTCATCGTTCTTGATATAAATGATTTTCTTGCCCTTGTGAGATATTGAAAGATCACCAGATCTGATCTGACGGCCATCGATGTTCAGCACTTCTCCCTGTTTGCCGGTTTCTGTCTCCCAGAAATGAACACCCGACTCTGCCAGTACCGCGAAAACGTTGCCTGATGGAGAGAATTGCGGAGTACCAAGAGTCTTGGGTACGTTCAAGCGAAATTTCTCCTCTCCCGCTCTTGTATCCCAGATCACCACGGTGGGACCCTGGTAAGCACCAGTTGCTAGCAAACTTCCATCTGGGGATCGAACCCAGACATCGAAACCACATGAAGGGACTTGACTTTGCTTTTTTTTTAGATCAATTTTGCTTTGCCTGCCCCAGTTAGCCCTTATGCCTTGAAGACCCTGGTAAATCTCCATCAATCGAGATGGCTTCGATCCAAATTCTTCAATGTTCCATATTTTCAGTTCATTTGATTCATTGACAGAAATTAGGAGCTTGCCATTGGGCGAAAAGGTGATGCTCTTTATTATGGAGTCGCTTTTCAAGACTGTTGGTGCACATGATTCGCCAAGCATCCACAGAAAAATAGCATATTGCTTGAATGACGCAAGTATCAACTTTCTGTCTGCAGGTCTGCAAATCGCCTTGGTTGGTGAATTAGGGCCAAGCGGAACTCGCATGCCATCCGAGCCGTCACGAGCATCACGAAGAACTAGGCAAGGTCCCTCAGTTGATACCGGAGGTGAGATAGTGATATACCTCGTCCCAGGCATTGATCCCAGCCAAAACTCCTTGGGGGTGATCCTCGTGGAAGAAACCTTAACCCCGGTCAATGCATTCCAAGCATGGAGTATCTCATTAAATTGGCCACGTTCTTTAGTGGCTATGATGGAAATCAACAACGATCCATCTGATGAGAAGTAAATTCCAGTGATGCGTGTGCCTCGCTCAACTTGAAAATGGTACTTGGGCGATTCTTTAGCTTTTATATCCCAAACCAAGATATCACGGGGGATATCAGCAACTGCGACGAGATTCTCTTCTGAAGAAAAGGCACAGATCTGGTGGGTAGCAGGCCCTGTCCAAAATCCAAGACGCCTGAAACGAAGCTGAAAGTCTGGCTGAGATCTCGCGCCAAAGGAAGATTGGATGTTCCATACCGAAAGACGGTTCTGGGAAGAAGAAGCCACGAGACGCCCGTTCGGTGAAAAGCAGACACTTGCCCACCCGCTTAAATTTCCCTCCAGTTTGAATCTCCGCGTGCCACTTGTTGCGTCCCATATGTGTACCATGCGGTCTCCACAAGCTGTAGCAACAAGTCTGCTGTCTGGGGAGATTGCAACAGAGTGAATCACAGATGAACGAGCAATCGAAAGGCCACGATATGATTCGCTCCAATTATCTGGCTTGCGAGGCTCTTTCAAAATCCAGCTCGGTGCCTCCTTGCAGCTCTGCTTTCTCAGTTCACTAGACTTTGGACTGAAGATCAAGCCTGAGACATAGATTTGTAGAGGAGCTTCCTCTATTATCAACTTATTGCTTAGAAGAAACTGCAGAGCGTCTGGCACGAAGACTTGAAGTTGGGAGGTTTTATTTGATTTTGGATGATCAGATAGCATTAGTTTTGGAGATTTTCTGTGCAATGATTTTCCGTTCTATAGCTCGTCAGTTCCAAGTTCGACAACACGCAGTCTGGGCAGGATGAACTTACGATAATGGCATCTATGTCTGACATTGCTTCAATCGCATGCCCAAGCTTTCGGGACCATGCCAGGCATTCAAGCCAGGAAAGATACTTGTGTTCCAAAAATTCTAGGAGGATGAATTCTCGTTGCCTTTGTTTTGATCTTCCTGTTCATGTCTGAGACTATGCAGCGTTCCCTCGAGGAATTGGACTATGTCTTCGGTGTGCCGACTCGAACTCACGCCAAGTATCAGCTCACTAAGGTTCTTCCCTGGTGGATAAAGCGATACATCTTCATGCACAAGGACGCGGTCTGTCCAGAGCTCTACCATATTGCGCCTGAGTATGGCCCCGACGCAACCTTTGAGCTCACTACTCGGGCTGAGAAAAGTGACAAGACCGACGAAGCTGAGCCTCACGTGGAGATTGCTTGATCCAGTTTCATGAAAAGTCACCAATGGGGCTCCCCTTGCAAGGTCGCGAATATGAGGATGAGAACGAGGATCAGGATAAGTATGAATCAGGTTATGTGGGGGCTCGGACTCCCGAGGATTGAAGGCGGACTAGGGCCATTTAATTAGCAGTATCAATACTCTTGCTTCCTAGGAATATCATAACTTCGAGTTGAACTCTCTTCCATTGCGACAATTCGACGTAGTGCCGCTTTCTGGAATGTCGCCCCTAACCTGCCTCCGTCTTATCGCAAAGGCCAACAGTAAAACGTACAGCCTCCACATCCCTTGTTATGTGAAAGCCAACGCGTCTCGCCGCATCGGAGTAACGGCCGTGGGCAGCGACAAGATCGACGTGTCGCAGATTCTTGCCGAGGTATGAATGTCCCTGTCACTCAATGAAGGGCAGTACTGAGCAAAAGTATCCTGTCTAACTGAATGCCAAGATCTTCAAGGTCCCGAAATCAAGTGTGGGGGTGATTCGGGGTGCGAAGTCGCGAGAGAAGACGCTCTGTATTGCCGATCTGGAGATCGACAGCGAAGAAGCATTCTTGCAGCGCGCAACTAAAAGCCCACAAGACGCTATTTCGCGACGCGCTTAGGTCGAACGTTGAAATTGAGGTTGGAATTTCATCGTTGCCCACCGGGGCAGGTGGATTTGCAGATCCCGTGACGCCAGAATCCCATCTTTTTCGGAGCTGCGACTGTTCGCCCGCACATCCTGCGCAACATGTCGGACATCGCCATGGACATTGACAGTACTCCAGGGGAGGCTACAAAGCGCAAAGCTCCTGATACAAAGTCAAAGAATATCCATTTCACATCCCGCAACCCGCCCTGGACCTACTTCAAGCTCAAGCTGTAAGCTACCGAGCTCAATCCGCAACCTCCCAAACACCAACTGACCAGACTCACAGGATCCCCCAGCCTGGCGAAACCCTCCAATCACTTGACGCCCTTTCCGCGCGAACATATATCACCTCTGCACTGTCGCAATTCTACGGCTTAACAGGAACCGCCATTCCGATCGACATCTTGAAGATCGAGAACGCCTCTCCGACCGAGAAATGTGACTCTGTCTGGCTGCGCGTTCCACGCGAAGACGCAGGCGCCATAGTGAACTCCGTGAGCTCATGGATCGGGGGCGGAAACAAATCCGTGGGGTCCGCAGATGTCGCGTGGAGAATTTGCGCGAAAGGAAACTTCCTGGGTGCGTTGATCGCTGGGTCTGGTGAGGACTTATTCGTCCCCTAGACAATGATGCGATTATTGCGTTTTACCACTACATGAATACACTCGCGGGCATGGTTGTTTTGATACCGCCCTCTGCCTGTTCGTGGACACTCCGACAATGGCATTGGCCATGACTCGTCGATGATGGACGCATGCTGCGTGGCGTTGCATCATGCACAGGTCCGGTCATTCTGATGTGCGTGTACATGCAACCAACAATGCTGTGCCGCTTCCTCCAAGTATGCGAGGATCGATCCAAGCTTCGATGGAATTTTGGCGTTAACCTCAACGCGCTTTTTCTACGGTGGCATATTCTCAAGGCGGTCTTGCGTCGATTAAGAGGATGTACATCGTCCTGAACAGGTCCGCTAGCGACGAGTGGTACTGATGTTTCCCACATCGCTCGGATTGATGAAAAGATACCAAAGGCCCCATACCTTCACGGTGAATCCTCTTTTGTACCGCTCCACTCGCAATATCTAAACTTTCACAGACAAGGGCGAGCATCACGTGTGTACAGAGGGCACGAGTGCAGAGAAGACATGCTGGAGTTTAAATCCAGACTGCTAAGCATAATATTGATCCATCTCGGTTGTTTTCAACTGGTTATCATAGTAATCAAAGTCGGAACCGAATAGCTTCTATCTGTTATCTTCCTGAAACACTGAATGACAAATCCATATAGCTCACAGCCGCCGTCTTTTCTGCCCAACAGTAGGCTCCAAGAAGTGGACTAGTCGCTTTGACCTACGATAGCAGTAACAAGATCTCCGTGGCGGCCAATCTAGGATTTAATGATCTGGACGTCCAAACTGAGCGTAAGCTTTCTGCTTATCGAGAAATTCTAGCGTTGATTTGGGGAAGCTGCTAATCTTTTCACGAAAAGTATTATTGGTAATCTTAATTGAGACTCTTTCTTTAAGGCTGGTGACCCAGAAAGCAACGCGCTTTTTGAAATATCCATAAAGTTGGTAAATATCGATTGGATCTATACTTTCTAAATCGTGGTCTTGACTAGACTGAAACCTGGCGCCGGGGAACTCGATAAGAACTCGCTGTAGGATCTTAGTAGGATTTGGTTGTAAACAAAGAACAGATCTCCAATAATAAAAGGAAATATTATCTTAGATGGGAGACTTATCTAACTCAAAGAAAAATATAGTTGATGTAAAAATACTCTTTACAAATTCAGCTAGTATTGCAAAGTCTATATGCGACATTTTTTTCAGCGAGTATATATTGTCTAATACTGGTAGTATATTATCGATGGTCTAGTCTAGTCGGAAAATATTAGGTGTTGACGAATAGGGAAGATAATTGAGAGCTTTCAAAAATCTTTGTTTTCTATCTATAGAGAAAGAAGATATTATAGCCTAAAATAGTTAGGAAAGAGCACCTTTTTGAATACGATTAAGAAAACCAATTGAATTACTGGGGCTAGATATGAAGAATCTTATTCTAATAGATAGAAGAAGGTTGTGCCTTTTCGCTATAGACTAGATAATACCCAACTCTCGCAAAACAATAACTAGTAGATTGTTTATCCGGACCCTATTATTTTACAAGAGACTAAAACCTAGTAATATTTGACACGGTGAGCGGGGGGCCGAAAACGGCTCCCATTGCACCGCCGTCCTGTCGCCCTTGACCGCCTGCCCGTCTCCGCTATCCCATTACCCCTTTGGGTTTAGCGCCCTCGCCCGCACTCCCGTTCGGGTTTAGGGCCACCGCTGGCCGCTTTTACCGCTCCCAAGCAGTCTTCCCATCTATAAAACACCGCTCGTCCTCTTCGCAGCTTTGTCGACGCACTTTCTCTTCTTTTTCCTGTCTGGCCCCCTTTCTCTCGGTCCCCACCAAATCATGCGCACTGGCTCGCCACCTGATGCATCGCCCCTTTCATTTCACCGGAGATGTCGCTCAATCCACCGTTCAGCCAGCTCTAGCCAGCGTTGTCTGCACCGCGGACCAGTCCCTTGCAAGTTGATGCTTCGAGATCACGAAGCCCCGTCATCTTGTGTGCTATGATACCTGTGTTTCCGACTACTTTTATTGTACTACTAGCTCTCGAGAACACATGTTGTTTGCGAGCCTTTCTCGCTGAGCGCTCCGCTCATTCTGCTGGCTTTCTGCTAGGCCGGAGAACAGTGTCTCGGAAATCCGCGACACGCACGCCCTGATTTGCCACATTCCGAGCGAGGTTGCATCCTACAGCCTCCAGTGGTGAAGGCACACCCTGGTCCGCTTGGCCGAGAGCGCCTCGGGGGAAGACTGTCGTCATACTCGGTTTCTCTTAGCCGTTATTACCCAGTCGACGAGACCTCGGACGACAATGCCGTTCTACGGACCAATGGCGGAATTGCCGCATTCTTGCCTAATCTCAACCGATGCCAAGTACTGCGTCACGAGGCCGACGATGGTCCATTTTACAGATGGCCCTTGACCAAGCGTATAGATGAGCAACTGGAGACTAGGCTGACGGCCATAGTGGAGCCAGGTCACAATAGGACGCCACCAGGTGTGCGGAAGCTTTTGCCGATGGCCTTCGGTCCCTTGTTGTGCAACCGGCGTGGCTCCACGCCTTGGATGAAACGGCTCGGATTGAAGGAGGTGGACCGAGTCCTGTGCGCCGCCAAAGGGAATCCTCGCCTATAAGAGAGACGACAATTCCCTTCGAGGGCCCAATTAGACAGAAACCTATCAATACCCCCTCTCCCTTCCCCTTGCACCTGCTTTGTATCCCATAACCCCATATCTGAGCGCCCCATTCTTATTCAGGTTCAAGACTACATCTGCAGGACCCTTCTGGATACACCTTTCTCAACATGTCAAGCACCAATTTTCGCCTGGAATCGTTTCGTCCATGGAATCCTTTCCAAGACAAAGCTCGGCCATTGCGCGATCCCCCCGGTACTTGTCGCTACCCAAGTCCGATCTCGATCACTACCACCCCGCCAAGCTCCAATTCTAGCGACTATGGCACAAAGAGCCAAAAAATTCATTCCCACAAACCTGAGCGACACCCCCTTCCTGCACGCCCGCCGACGGAGGTCTGCTTAGATGGATTGCATTCGGAGGCTCAACCCACTCGACGAGAATCGGAGGGCTTGGGTCGGACACTTTCCGCTGTCAGTGACCCAGAGCCTCTCAACTTCGAGAACATCTTGCAACCACAAAGCATAGTTGCTGCCGATGATTTCGTTTCTACAAGTTTTACCGATGATATGTATTGGGAAAAAGAGCATCAGTTCTTCGACTTGGGATTGGATGACCCGGATCCTGTCGGTTTTGCCGGTCAAGATCCTCAAAGTGTTGATCTTGGAGCCCTTGCTCGGGATGGAGAGCCTCCAAATATTGAAACAATCGACCCTGCAATCCTAAACGACCATGACTCTCCAATTGCCGAGCAGGTCCAAACAACGACGAGCATCACCGACACCGCAGCAGATCCGAAAGAATGCCCCGCGAAGTCCACTCGCTCTCTGAACAAAGCCTCAACCCTCCAACGCAAACGACGGAACTCAAAGGGGACGCTTGACGCCGATCGCCAGCCAAAAAGGACGAAACGCTCGGGTATAACAAAAAGGCATACAGGAATTAGCTCTGATCGGTCGAACAAAAGTTCCGGTCATGCTCAGAGCACTTCTTTCCCTACAGTTCGTGCTCAATTCTCGGCCCTTTCAGTCGAAGACCGACTACAGTTCCTGTCCTGGCTTTTTCAGGGTGTGTTATCTCATTGCGGTTCTACGCCTCCGAGCGCCGATGCCCATTCTGCACCGGGATGCATCTCAAGCCAATGTGATGACATAAACGACAACTGTGATCAGACGAGCTTGAATACACAGGTGATTGACGCGCAGCATACCTCTTCGAGAAAGGGACTATCGTGGTCTGTGGAGGAAGACCGCCTTCTGATAAAGCTTAGAGACAAGCAAAATCTCGCTTGGTCGGAGGTGGTCAAGCAATTTTCACAAGAATTCCCCGGGCGGAGCGAGGGGTCAATACAGGTGTACTGGAGCACAACACTGAAGAAAAAACGACTGGAGAAAAAACGGCCATCTTCCCCCATTGTTCTTATTGGATGACATATCAACATTGAGCTATTACCGATAGAAGCATCTAGAATATTTAAAACATTGTCTGTGTGGGGTTGATCAATTGCATGAGCTGCATAGTCGAAGACATGCCAAAGTGATTCATCGTCGCCACGCATAGGAAGTGAAGTTCATGGGGCTTAGGGCTCTGGAATTTTATTAGACATTGATTTTTATTTTCTTTTACAATTTCAAAAAAATTGAATTTAGGGGTGATATAAACACAGCGGATGATAGCGTTAGTCAATACCGAGGTTTATTGGCTGTATATTGTAGAGGCATACAGGCTCTCAGGCTGGAACAATCTCAACGCGCACAACCACTCCAACTTAAGGAGATTTTCGAGGCGCTGGATACCTGGACTTTCCAGTATTCAGAATGGCGCATTAATGACAAGATGGTTGATTCTGAGGGCTATGTATTGCATGTTACGACACAGTTCTTCCGGTATGTTCAGATTTACCATACATGACATGTGGGTATGGGGATGGTGCTGAATGACCATGTACGACAATACAATGCGGGGAACTCACGGTATTTTACCCCTCATCTGAAATGACATATGCTCGGGCGGCTCAGGGTAGATTCAGGGTAGATTCAGGGTAGGCTCAGGGTGGGCTCAGGGTTGGCTCAGGGTTGGCTCAGATAGCCTCAGGGTAGGCTCAAGGTGGGCTCAAGGTGGGCTCAGGGTGGGCTCAGGGCTGGCTCAGGGTTGGCTCAGGATTGGCTCAGGGTAGGCTCAAGGTGGGCTCAGGGTAGGCTCAAATGATCCAGCGCCTCCCTCCTCGGTAGGTCAATCAATGGCCATACATCCATCAACCAAGAACCATGACGTTGTCCTCGCGTCCCCGCTGCTCAAAAATCTCGTAGCAAAAAGCATAAGAGATAGAGAAGATTTACAAGTGGATATCATACGGCTGAGCTTTTGAAGCTGGTTAGAGAATATGGGCGAGCCTTCCTGTGCAATCGTCATGGGAAAGGATAAAAGTTGCCTTCAATACTCCTATTGGTAGCTGACTCGGAGACGAAAATAGAATTGCGAAGAATCTCGGGTGTGTCTTGGAATAACGCAGAAGTCGGATATCTGGAGAGCCTTGACAATAAGTATCATGCGAGGTGATCAATGATGTCGCATTCTTTGAGATAGAAAATCCCCAGACCAGATGTGCGACTATCCTATCAAGCCAGTCAATTACAGTAAAGATGGACTTACCCAATGCGGTGCCGGCGGGTCAGTTCTCTCCATGGACAAGCGTGTCTGACGTTTTTGATGGAAGCATGTATCCCTAGCATGCCATAATTTTCTCTAGCCAGAAAAATAGCGGCAGCAAGGGGTTCAATTTAGTTTTTCTCATCAAAGTCGAGATGCTCTGATGAGTTTTTAGAAAACAGAGGAGCGATCTATTTTTACGATTTCGCGTATGAATTCAAAGTTGAAGCTGAACCGATGACAACGGCCCTGTCGGAGCATGCATGGGTTCTTTGAGATTATCACTAGAATGGTGGTGGAAGGGAACCTCTTTTCTTCAGCACATGGTTTTATTTTCTTTGTGAGGATCGGGCCTAATATGAAGTGGCAGATTGACAGAGGAAACAATGAGGAACCAGCGGATGTGATGGAACCTAAAGAAATATTGGTGTTGAATTATTTGAGTGTTTTCAATATTCCTGTCAAAGGGCCATGGGACCTCTAACTCTAGTCACCAACAGCAAGCAGACCCCAGGGCAGCTGTGAGAGTCTCACGTATACATATATGAGTCTTCCAGATGAAGAGTGAATATCGATAAAAGCTATATTCGAGTCTTAAAAGACGTAGCGCGAGAAACCAAAAGAGACAGGTTTACTCGCGTTCAGAGGGGAGGGATCCAGATGCACCATGTGGGTCCCGAAGATCATATCTCTATACATCCTGTGTGCTTCATGTATATCCCTAATAGCACCTGATGCAACTCCTAGGATACTCTTCTTGTCTTTTGCAAATTGAGAAACCGCTCTGTTAGGCCTTGAGAATGTTGGCAGTTCCAGTGTTTGGTCAGCGATCGCACAATGTGTCTTTCAGCCAGCTGGCGTATGGTACAGCCCAAGCACCAGCGATCCGTCACAGCTCTACGAGGCATTCCCGGGGTTCTACCGCGAGACTCTTAGGATGCATGATCGGTACTGTGGAGAACATTTTGATTACTCCTAGAACGAGAGAAGCATTTCCTAGGAGCTTCTCCTGGATCCACAATCCAAGTGTAATCATCACCAAACATGGCGGCAAATTTAATGTGGAATAGTTCGTGTATAAGTAGTGCTTCTCTTTCGTGCGAGCCTCCACTATATCACGCATAACTTCGCATTATTTCGAACGTACAGCCGGTGCACTCAATTTTCTGCGTTACAGTACCACCATCGCACCACCCACAAGCACCGCGGGTCATCTGCCACCAGTGGTTGTACCCACGATTGCGAATAGTCACCACACATCTTTTTCAAGAGGTCCAGACTAAAGGTCTGTGCATTCTGCAGCTTTTTCTTCAATTCCTCCACTATGTCTCTTCGCTCCTGTCGGCCATGCCATACTTCGAAAATCCGATGCACCCGTGAAGTTCCTCATTGCCAAACTTGCGTCAAGCGAGGTAAGTGCTCGATGTGCGTCTATGAAGCAAGCGTCCCAGACCGCAAAAGAGTGTCAGACCGGAAGCCTGCTCTTCCAGAGCCACAGCCAAAGCGGCAATTGCAAAAGCAAGAACGAGCATCTGGCGAGAAACACATTCGATGGAGAGCTATCGAGCCGCAACCCGAACAGTCTTTGCGGCACAAAAAGAGAACAAATGAAAGGATGCAGCACGCCATAGAGCCTACAAAGGAAGTAGATAACAAGGTTTTGGATCAAAGGTATTCTGGGAAGGACGGTTTGGCAGCTCATGAGACGCCCCCAAAGAGTATCGCGACTACAGTTACGGAGAAAGCTTCGATTTTCCAACCAGAATATGGCCGTGCAGCCGATGAAGATATCCTTGAATGGCCGCGAAGCATATCAGTATCACAGTCAGCACAGCTCTATGCACAGATGACCCCTCCGGTAATCAATAATAACCTACGAGAAAGCCAAGATCTCAAGGCTGACTGTTGACAAGACCTCTTTGCCTCCACGACCGAACTTCAATCTTACAATATCCGAGAGACACAGTTGCGGCCCACATACGACCCACCAATTGTTGTTGGTATTGAGCTACCTTTTCATCTCTTCGATGCTTCCTATGGATTTAGGGGCTCTGTGGAAGGTCATATGTCGCCGTGACCGTGACTGGGAAGAGAGCTTTGTCTTGCAGCACGGTCAGCTTCAAAGGTGGCTGATCAGTGCGCGCAACGTTTTAACCAAGTCTGACGGGTTGCACACAGTAACATTGGCAGACATAGAGCTCCAAACAAGATATATTCTTTTCGTTATTGGGCAATATACATCCCCTAACTCGAGCTTTCTAGCTGAAACCTTCCAAAGCGAGCACCCTCCGTACCGGCCGTTTGGGGCGAGGGCAAGCATCGCGCTAATTTGTCTTGTCTTTGAGGGGATTCGGGTTGATGAAATGGAAGGATACGAATCAAAGGAAATATGGACTCGCGACAAAAATTTCCTGAAAATGATGGCATCCCGGCTGAAGGAATCGCCGTTGTTTGGCCCTGAAGTTTCAATGCTCCATTTGCAGTCTATGATATTAAGCCTACAGAGGGCTTTCCAGTGTGAAGAAATTCGTGTTTCTAGCACGAAGTTCCGGACTTTGAGGATCGAAAGCCACTTAGAAGTGCTAGGATATTATCGACGGGCATTTCTGGCTTTCGACCCAACACTATTGCCAAAGATTTTGGCCTCATTGAGCAAAACTGACGATATCACTGACAGCATTGGCCAGAACCAGCTTACCAATATGGAGAGGTGCTTGGACAGAAGTAAGTAAATCGATCTTTACGCTGTTATGGCATTTGACAAGAGTATAGCCAATTTGGCCTTGCGTCTGGCCAATATTTTCACATCACTTGCGCCAGAGTGTTTGGACGCTGCTTTCCAAAACATCTGCGAGATTCAGCAGTCAAAAGCTGATAAAGTCGTCGCTATGGAGATGATGCATGTCAAGTCATTCGAAGAAGCATACAAGTTGAACAGGATTGGTAAGTCCTCGTATATTGAATTGTAACAAAGAAATTTCTAATAGTTGCAGACCCTACTACTGTCCGTGTTTTCCATGTTTCCCCTTGAAACTACGAGCGGTTATCGGAACCCTAATACATCTCTTTTCAAGAATCCGAGATTGTATACCAATGTGTGGAAACCCAGATCTTTGCGTTGGAATCTACAAAGCAAAGCTTTTGCTCCGGAGACGAGTGAATAAAAATTGGCTCTTATTGATTCAGATTCAATTTTCTCATGACGGATTTGAACCAATTCTTGATCTGCCTCGGCGAATTCCTCTCAGAACACACAACAGTTGTCATATCCTACTTATTTTAGAATGCTGACCAAATGACATCTCCAGCGTCAAACATGAAACTTATTTGCATAAGAGCCCCAATAATCTGTGATAAACTCGAAGGAAAGGATTCGCATAACAACATAAACACTCCAAGCAACAGGCATCGTTCATAAATTTGTAATAGTGAAAGTGAGCACCGTGCACTTGTTGGGAAGGAAAGAGATAGTTTGTGATCGTTTCTAACAAGACTACGTTAAAAATTGTTGTATACAGTATTCCACAGGATGGAGAAGTTCGATAATGTGATTGACTTGACTGTGGGTCAATTTCCGGATCCATATAGCCCCCAGAAAGCCCCACGTAGCTCTGGAGCCTTCTAATGCCACTTGGGCATAAAGGTATGTTCCTGCTGACAGCTTCATTACCCCCCACCCCCCCTCCTATGAGGCTCTCACGTATGCATAGAGGTGGGTAGCGTCTCAAGATGAACGATTAGTATTGAGGACAAGTACATGTAATCGACTCCCTATACAAGACATGGCGCAAGGAAGCAAAAAAGAGAGGCAACCTCATGTTCGAGGGAGTCCGCATGCACCATGTAGGTCCCCCATATCATATCTCACCTCATCTCATCGTTCATATGTACTTTATGTATCTCGCTGACACCCCTAAGTTTAAATTTATGGGACAAAAAGATTAGCAGAAATTGAGTTGAACCGGTCAGCCATTCATCTTGAGGGCCAGCCATCTTTAGATCGTCAACTTGCGCTTTGTAGTATTGTTGACGGGCTGCACTAAGTGAGGTAAACGCGGTGAAAAAAATGCTGGTGATGAAACTGCAATTGAATCAATTATATTAAATCGTGAACTTTTCTAGAAGGCATATTGAAAGTTGTTTGTGCTATCAAGAGAGTGGCATTGTTTAGTAAATGGATAGAACCACTTTTTGCAGCTCCATCAACTTCATCAAATGCAGTTTTTGTTCTTGTGAAGTCGATTTCCCGGGTCATCTTTGCCGTAAGCCAAAGTTGAATTTCCGTTTGGCGTTTGGGGGATTGTATTCGAAATTTGGCTCCTACGCTCCCACTCAGTTTTTCTTAGTAGAGAAAAAACCACGACTTAAAGAATCATCTGAAAACATCATATGTTGATAATGCGCTGTATCTATGGAAACGTGTACCTTCGTTAGGCTAAAATTCATTAGGATATTGCAACGGAGCCGAGCATTCCAGGGCGGATATCCTTCAAAGCCACCCAGCACATCATACCGTCTGACCCTATCGTTCGTGTAGCTGCTCAGCAAGAGCAATACGATCTACATTTGTCGCCTAAAAATACAAAAGATGCTTTCTCGGATGATGCTCCTCAACTGTTGGATCTCCTTTGCCTCATTTAATGAATCCTGGATGCGTTCAGTTTGAGGGCAACCTAGGAAGTACGAGCGAAAGTAACCAGTCGGTAACAAAGTGCATGGTGACATTCTCAAATTCTTTATCATATGTTCCTATTTTACCTTTCTAACTACGTTTGTTTACTTCCATAGGAAAAGGAGAGAACAAAATGGTGAAATAGATTTCGATCCGCCCTGTATGTAAGCAGCACGTGAGACACTTGAATTCTTGAATCTATTATAGAGGAGTTACCCCTTCTCTCTTGCCGCAATAGTTTTGCCTCCTTCATAATCAACCCTCTTTTTATTTCAGACATACTCTATCCCGCTATATATACACCTTTGCCCTACCAATTTCCTACAAAAGGATGACTTCTCAAAAAAGGCCGGCCACCCTCTTGCCGGAAGAAACCTACATTGACGATCACTCGGATGAAACCAACACTGAATGGGAGAAGATCACGCAAGACTCAGTCGTATTTGAAAGAGAATGCATTGAAGATGATCTCACCGAGCAGAAACGAGTGATTCTATTGCAGGAAAATCCTAGCAGCAGAAGCCACTGTCGCTACTGGGGCTGTGTTCCTACAAAGTTAAATGGAGAACCTAACATCCGATCTGCCTTTCGATTCAACTTGAAAGACGTTTCTGGTCGGTACTATGGTAAGTCCTCACATTCCGCAAAAGCCAGTCTAAAGTCTCACGAGCCGTAAGAACCGAACCAGTACTATCATGTGTCATGCCTGGAGCAAATATATCCTGACCTGGGTGCCTTGGTAGAGCGCGGGGCCATGAAAATGGAAGGGGGGGTCAATCATCTGAACTCAGCCAGCTGGAAACTATCACGCTTCCACAACGCCATTGAGGATTGGTTCCGCTATAATGGCCGCACTTTCGAAGTGAAGGCATACGATCGATTTCAAAGAGAACATGCTAATTGGGACCGAAAAGCCAGCACGATGGAGATTAAACATCAACTCAACACTCATGGGGGTAGTTCAAAGAATTGTGAGAAGTGTGGAGAAATACCGGATGAACCGCTGAGGAGAGATTGTTTTCCGGAAGAACCACGCAGCAAGTTACTGAGTGAGGTTCTCTCCTCTGTGATTGGCGTGCCAAACTTGGATGAAGTAGATGGAAGCTTGAATACTCACTGTGGTAAGAAGATTCGGCGCGGGTAGTGGTATATTTGTCGATCATGTTCTTGCCTCCTTCTGTCACTATGAAATTTCATTAGATGTAGCTTGGGCTACGAGATGCCAGGGAACGACTAGCAAACAAGAGCATGATCCCGTTGATGAGCTATAACTGATTTTGAGTAATACTTCATCCCCACTTTTACAAGTTTATTGAGTCGATGTAGGGCCAACGTTCAACGATTTTCGCGTATCAGCACAAGTGACCGTGACCCGCAGCTCGACACAGCTAACACAAGTGGGGCTTGAAAAAGAAACCCATTATTTCTAGTGATAAAATCGTAGGCACTATCTGGTGATTCAACGTTGAGTCGCTCATAGATGAGGTGATCAAAACACGGAATATGAGCCTGTCATTGCGGATTGAATATTTCCCACAAAGCCTCAATTTAAGGGGCCGTAGCAGTCATCCAACGTTTCTTGACCGACTCACCATCCTGTTTCTCAACACCACTCTTACTGGTCTCACTCGCTGAGCTTCTAGAGGCATCAAAGTATCCCTGCAAATAGTTGCGGTAAAAAGAAGACGTGGGTTTAAACAGCCCTTAACAAGGATAGATGCCGTCAACGCGTCCTACTAAGCAGAGCACTTGCGCAATAGAAGGAGCCGAGAGGTCTATAAATACGTCCTCTACACCCGGCAATTTGCTCTAAAATTTATTCACTTGACTACACAACGTCGAGCAGGCGTGTGTCTGAGTCACTTAATAAGTCCTTTCCCACTTGCCCCAGTACTGAAATTTCCACTGCGTTGACATTTTTAGAATACAGTGTGGACCAGCAAGTCAGACAGTGCCTGTAAAAGATATGAATCCCACCAGATGCACTGCCATTCACACCAGCCGATTCAAGATACGAGGTTTGGATTAGCTGGTCCAGGTGTCTATGCGAAGATGCCTCCGCCACAGCAGCCGACTGAGCTGATCTACTGTACAGCCGCTATGTATAATCCAAGAGAAAGCGCGATGATCCATGTCGAGTCATGTGAATCTTAGCCTAACCTGTCTCACTGATCCTGAAGACGATGCGATTTCCATAGAAACGAGAACATTCGACCACGTTGCACGAGCGCAAGAGTCGCATCTCTTTGCCGTCTCTTCGTCCCTATTTTTGGCTACCAGAACATGTGAGTCATGAAATATCTCGCCGATCTGAAAGCTAATGAATGACAGTGAACCAAGCACCAAGGACATCGCATTAGAGTGTCCCCGAGGCTACAGCACTCCCGTTAGTGCTCTGCACAAGCCATGGCTTACAAATCTTTCCTGGTCCCGTCGCTTAAGACTAGCCAGCATAACTTAGGTGGAGTATATACCAATAACAGGTATGGACATTCGATTGCGAGCTTCGCTGCAAGGAAGTCCATTCTTCCTGGTAATGTGAGTGAATTGTCGCGCCCTCTGCTGCGCTATATCAATTATTTGAGCAAAATTTTGTGCTCCAAAACACGAACAGCATTACTGATTTTTATGCCATTGTACATAGGAGCAGCCCATTGCCACTGTGAAACACCCCTGTTGGGAGTCCCATCGCCGGATCGGAGATAAGACCAAGGGGCAACACTACGGCGCGCGTGCTCCATCGCGTTTTTCCGCGTCTTCCGCCTCGACCTCACCGCCTTCACACTGAACCGCGGAGTGTATGAACCTCTCGCCGTCCGCGTCGCGAGGTGCTATCGCTTTACGACTGTACAATTTATTTCCACAGGTGAAATCATCACGTGACTTTGGCTCTACAAAGGTGCCCGGTGTACCCAGCGCGTCTTCTTCGAAGCGACAACCGGAGAGTGCGACGAACTGGATACAACATTATGTCAAATGGCATGGATGGTGACTGCATTGATGAAGACAATTGTAAGTGATCTCGTCGGTAGGATATGACCATGAAGCTAATTAATCGTTTCGTCTCAAGCGAACGTTCTGCGAACTAAATGAAAAGGTAAATTATGAAATCTCGTCCAAGTGGTAAGCCTTACTGACTCGGATCGTACAACAGCGCCCCTCATATTCCCGTCACTCGAGTTGAATGCGAAGCGAGCAAACTTGTCTGCTCGAGCTCCTCTATACCGAAGCGATCGCAAGCTATCTGTCCCTTCCTCATGACCACTGGTGGCATGGACGATGAATGACTGGAAGGTTCACATCGTCTCGGCCCTTCTCTCAGTCGACACTATGCACCAGTCATGTGCTGATGTGTCTAC